AGCGGAAGAGAGATGAGAACGGCGAGGGATATTTTAGGGTTTGGATTTGAGGGTTTTATACGGTGGAGGTGGGATTCCCGGTCTCGGGTTTTCTTCTAAACGCTCCGTTTTATTTTCGGACTTAATTGGATTGCCCGACCCGGCAAATATGGAGCACAATTCTTTGTTTACTTTTTTTTGGCCGCAACAAATCTTCCTACGATGTATGCTTTTGATTTTTCCTTCTCGGCTCTGGGTGAATATTTATAAACTAGTTATTATGCCTGTAATTTGAATGGGTTAATTATAAATAAAAATTAAAATATAATCTACAATATTTAATTATATTAATGGTCTTATAAAGAGGATTAGAATGAAAGAGAAAAAAAAACATGTTTTTCGAAAAAATAAAGCTCTATTGAAGAATCATTAGAGAATAAAGTTTAGGGATGATGTTGGGTTCAATGAAAATAGATATGGATTAAATATTAATTATCACTATTTAAATTTATAAATAAAATAAAATCTAATGAAATATAGGAGTATTTTATTTCATTTCATTCAATATGTTTATTTTTCTTTAACCAAATTCAAAAGGCATGATGTGAAAATAACTTATTTTTTTGATTAACTAATCATTTTATCCACTTTCTATAATAGTGTAAAACCTTAAATTCTTCATAAAATATCTAAATAGTCTGAAAATTTAATTTCATTTTATACCATTTCATTTTACCCGTTATTAAACAAATGCAACTTAATGATCAAATTTTAACAAATTTATTTACATTTATTTAAGAAAAATTTAGAATTTTCTCATTTTAGTTTATTCCAAAGTGATAAAAATAACAAATAGTTAATAGTTTTATCACTTTATGTTCAATCAAATCATCAAAATAATGATCACCATCATTTTATATATTGGTTAAGAAGTTATTACATTTGTTTTTGGTAAATGGCTATGTCACTATATTTCATCATAAAATATATTAATCACATTTTTTATTTATTGAAATTATAATAAAAAGACCTTACGTATATTAGCCACTTTTAAAGACAAATGGTTAATTCGTTAAACAAGCCATTTCTTTTTTCTTTTTTCTTTTTTCTTTTTGCCAATGCACCAGCCTTAAAAATAACCTAATTCACTATTTCCCAAGCAAATTCCAAATCCCTAGGCCAGCACTTGCACAATAGTTTATAATCACATTTGGCACTTAGATTATGCTTTAAAAAACTGTAAAAATTAGATTGTTTCAATAATTATTTATATATAAAATTAATTATAATCAGAATAAATCTTTATTTAGATAATTTTGTTAAAAAATAATTTTGAAATATTTAATTTCATTTAGATAAACAAAATAAATTTTATGTAAAATAAATTAACTTCAGAAGTAAAAAGTTAGTAAAATATTAATAAGCATAAATTTTAAACTTTCTGATTCAAAAAGTTTATTTTTTAGAAAAAAAAATTTATAGCTTATTTCACAAACAACTTTTTTTTAAAGCAACGGAAATAAACTTTTCCAAACACTATTGTAGCAATAAGATTAAGCGCATTCTCAATAGACAGCATTTGCCTGTAAAATAAATCCAACCACAAATGCTCTCATCCACTAATTTATCACTTGAGATGACAATGCCCCGGTATTTTTTACAAAACCTGATTATCCCAACTAGACAAGATCTTATTTTATGACCTCCAAGGCAAAGAAACTAGAGGAGACCAATGTCCATCACACTGCCACATGGCTGCCAGAAAGATGAATTCCAAGGCCAGCCAGAGTATAAAGTCTGTTATAACACGCCAGCCAGGCTAAAAGCATTATGCAACGTTTCTCAAGCATACATAAATTTTTGATTTTCCACAATTAACTGTAGTTTGACATAAAACAAGTATATCATCGATTTTGTGAAGGCATTCTTTCGGATTCGTGCCTTACTCGAAAGCTGCTGGATCTGACACTTGGGTCCGACACACTGGCAGTCTGGTGGTATGTTCTCCAACTTGATTCTCTACCAACATGGTTTAATGCCAAGGAAGGCAAGTGGTCTCTTTCCCAAGCATGGAAGCGACTTGGCAGATGTGTTTCTTCTTGAAAATTGCGTCCTGAAGAACCTGAAGGGATATAAACGAAGCCACCACTTTGGTCTGGTGACGAGGCCACTGGTGCTAATTGAACTGACCCACTATGACTACTGGCCCTTCGAGTGCTAGAAGCAACAGGTATCCGTATGGTGGTAGAATTATGAGGTTGCTGGGGTTGGTAGTATGCTTGAAGAGCCTGGACTCTATCGCGGGCACGAGCATTGCTACCTGGATAAGGAGGGATCATCGAAGATGCAACAGAGTTCCCAGCCCTAGCAGCAGAACTGCAGAAATACACACATCAGATGTTAACTTAATGACCTTACCAAATTTCCAACAGCCAGTAAAAGATGCCCAGTTCCACCGTTTTATAATCTATCAAGAATCGATTGAACTAAACCCGATTCCTTTATGTATTTGACAGCATACAAGCCTATTAATTTGAGGCTTGACCAAGATACTAACTTACGCAAATACTAAAACATCCTAGTAAAGTACACGAACTCTAAAAGAGGTACCTGTGACCAACGAGGAAGGGATGCATAAAAGATCCGGATCTAGGGACCTCTGAACCACCCCTGGTTGGCCTTTGACTACCAGGTGATACTGAGGTCTGATCTGCAGTGCCTAGACGGCTGCTGGCAGAAGAAAAGTGAGAGGAATTGTGTTCCCAACTGTGATAATGAAGATCCACTGCAGGAAATGTATAGGAGGTTGGCATGTCACCAGGTACAGGCGGACCATTCCAGTGGTTGAAATTAGAAGCTTCAGAAACAGATGCACCGGAGTTGGAGGTGGAGGGATGTATTGGTCCAAAGTAGGCAATATATGGGCAAGGATGACTGCCAGATGATACAGCCGTGTGTTCAGCAAATATAGCATGTTGTCCCACTATATCATGATCTGCATCTCAAAATTCAAGTCGAGATAACAAATTAGTCAAATGCAAGTTTGATGACAAGGAGGCTAGTGTGCATGAAAAAGGATCTTACATGCAGTGGATGAAAAATCCCCTTCCCTGGAAAAATAAAAGCAGAATATGAGCTACCGTTGCATTAAAAAATGTTTTCTTTTGGGGTGGGGGGGGGGGGGGGGGAAGGATAAAAAAC